TTCACAGCAGCTCTTTCTAACACTTCTGAACCTATTAGACTGCTATCTTCAAATCTGAAGATTATTATAGCACACTAACACGGCTCCGACCCAGCAATCAACTTGGCATTTAAATATGAACTTTAAATCGAATGACGTATGACATATTTCATAGCGTTAATATACAAACCTATAAGCGCACCGACAGCGCTCTTACAACCTGTTTATATTGTTTTGTGTTATTATGCCATGGTTTTTACTTTGTGACGTAGAGGATGTCCAATTCATGTCGGTAGATGATACCATAGCATAGCATATCAGTAAAGGACATTTCCTTTACTGAAATATAATCACACGTCATTACGTGTGATTATAATTTATAATCGATTTAAATATTAATGTTAATGTATACAATATAGCAATTATTGAAAAGATTATTATTGTAGTTAAGTTTGTACGAATATGTGTACAGTGCAGACAATCCATTTGATATTTGTCTATGAAATGGGTTTCCTGAATAATATCTTCATTGTTTTTCATGTTTTAAATATAATGAATAAATAAATCGGTGTCGTAGTGGCCTGGAGGTTTAAGACACCCACTTCTCATACACGAGGGTGCGGGTTCGAATCGAAACATACCAACAGCAAGTACAAATGTGACTTGTTCCGAGTTATATGTACTTTCTAAGATTATTTAGACACCACTGACAAACGGTGAAAGAAAAAATCGTGAGAAAACCTGGGCTTATAATTTCTAATTATAAGTTTGAATTCCGCATTGAGCAAGCGTGGTGATTAAACCTTCTTCGTGTGAGAAGAGGCCTTTAGTCAGTACTTCAGCAGTGGCCCCTTATAAGCTGTTGATGATGAATAAATAAATGTTGTACAAAAAATTGATTTGATGAACGAGTCAAATAAGTAAATTGTATGTGATCCTAGGTCATGGAACATAAAAATATTGCATAAAGTAAAATAAAAACGTAATTCCTTTTTATTTGCACTTGACTTAGGTCAGGTAGGAAGCGTTTATAATTCCTGGTTATGTAAGCCGACTAGTTTAATTGTTCTAATTTATTGGTAATTTGACAAAAAATAATATTGCGCTATTGATAAATGTGTTTGGAATGGAAGAAGCGAAAACCGTGTTTTTATAAGATGGTTGATCGCTATGCTAGTGAGCCACAAAATGTCCGCTCCTGAACATAGGCTTTTCCAATGACTTTCATATCGACCGTTTGGAAGTGATGTGTGAGTTGCAACGAACAATTTTTTACTTCTTAAGTCATTAAACTGTCAAACACCAAGCGGTCACCGGTGACCGCAACCTATTGTTCTATAATTGTATCTACAAAACCGGTACTCGACGAGTTAAACAACTATTGATACTTTTTAGTCCCGAGACAAGCGAAACTACTTACCATACATAACCTTAGTCATTGGTTATATGAAGTAAAGGGAGATGTAGAAATGTGTCTAAAATAATTCTTTTATAAACTCCCCTGTTTATTTGAAGTCGGTTAATTATATGTACTTAGGGCCGATTTTTCAATCATCAGTTGATTCCTAACTGAGGAATGATATAACTAGAAACTGTCATTTGGTCAATTTTATTCAACAGTTAAGTTTTAACTGATGATTGAAAAATTGAAACCTTCAATTACGTGTAACAAACATGTTTCTGAAAACAGCGTCGAAATCGGTTCAGCTATTCGCGAGATAACCGCTCACAAACATTTATATACATCTACAAGGTGTAGTTTTGAAGCATTTCTCGGTCGCATGTCACAGAAGTCATAAAGGTTCAATGTAAGAGAAAATTTCGGGCCAATAGTTAAAATTACGGCTATAATAAATCGTTTAAGTTAGACAGTATTTCAGGAAAAGCGACAACAATTCTTCTTATTGGAGTTTTATGGAATTAGGAATAATATCAATTAAGTGTTTGAGTTTGTGTGTGTTATAAAGCTAGTTACAAGACGGCGGCGTGTAGTTCGCACTTACGGATTTCCGTAATTTACAGAAAAATTAAAAATACTTACCTACAATATTTTTTATTGATTCGGACTCAGAATCGATAGCCGAGTTACCTCCTAGAAAATGACGCGGCTTTAAAACAACACCTTGTATATTTACAGGTCAAATTCAGAACCTTATATTTAAGTCGTTTTAAAACTATATTGAGAACAGAGGTAGTTTCCATGTTTATTCAAGTAAGTAGCTGGGTAACCAACACGTGGACACTAAATCCAGATGTTACGGTTAAAGTTGTTTGTCTTAAAAAAACTACATATTATTTTTTTGTAACAATAGATAACGGGCTGAATAATACTGGTTTTAGTTGAAGTTATATCCGATTATAACCGGTGGCTTGCTGAGCCTGGTTTATACAATTATTGCTCATGGCGGGTGGTGGCTTGTGTGAGCTCTCTACGGCTTATCGCCATGTTTTCTTTGACCCCTCACCTACGTGCAGATGTTTACTCTACATACAGACGCATTATTATTAACTGCTCTTAGGGATGTCTATAACAGTTAAATTTATAAATTTTATTAGTTTTTTTTAACTATTGTAGCCTTCTTCTTTTGGAGGAATACTACAAACTAAATGTTATCTAAAATTGTAGCGAATTAAATGTTATTTTACATTCGTTTCAAAATAATAATACTTATTCATAAAATAAAATCACAGACAAATTATCTATTCATAAAATAAAACCAATTTGACCCCAATTCCGTATGACGTCAAGGTCCCGGTCTAATGATACATAATGAATGTAATTACCTAACTTATTTATAAAACATTTGTCTCACAATACACTCGTTTATGCAAAAATGTTTTACATAATCTTGTTTACATAAGACACGTACATAGCAACTGTCGCGGTGGCGTTATTTTTATTCTATGTTTAAGTTAACAATTTGTATACACTGTCTAATGTGGTCGGGAGTGAAATATACAAGCGATTTTGTAATATAATGAAATAGAAATAGGATTTCTTATTACATGCAGAATTCTGGTGAAAAGTGGGTGTGGTTGGTACATTTCATGATACTTCAGTTTTAAATGTTACAACACATGAAATAATACAAGTTATCTTAATCTTCATGTATACTACAAACAAAATTATGACCGTTAAACATGTAGAATTGTTTTACTTTTCGACGAGGTCATTCAACTATTTTCGAGCTGTGACGTGGCCCATAATCATGAGCATTAGCTGTGTAAATGTACGATATATTATTATGATCAATTTTATTCTTTAATATACGTATTCCTCGATATAACTGTAAGTGGAATAACATACAAATTTATGATGATATTTTAACGAAATTTGTATAAACTACTAATCTCCAATCCTCGAATTCCCAACAATCCTCAAACTCCCAACCCCCAAAAGGCCGGTAACGCAACTGTAACATCTCTGTAACATCTCTGGTGTTATGGCGTCTATGGGCAGCGTTGATTGCCTACCATCAGGTGATCCGTCTGCTCGTATAAAAAACACCGTTATTGAAGTGACGCGATAATGTTACAGTCACGAGTCGATGAAGGTGCTTCTGAATGTCGAATGGTTTAGCATTCGGATTAACAGCAGTATTTACTCTAACGCCTACTTTTCTTACATTTTCCAATAGGAATACAGATTAAATATATGGTTAAACGTTAAACCAACGAATTAACTAAGGATCACATCACACATCAACGACCTGTAAGCGGTCGCTGCTGACCAAAGGCCTGTGATAATTGTTTTCACTATTTTATCGGTTGACTTTCTAAAGAATTTCCGTGAAATACCTGAATCGATCCAAAGAGTTCAGATTAAAGTCAAAGTCAAAGCATTTATTTCAATAATTTGGTACTTTTGATACGATACCAACAAATACAAAATAAATAATAGTCTGTCAATCAGTCCCGTCAGTGAAGCTAGGTGAAGCTACGCTCATTCCAAAATGTAGATTCGAATGGAGAAGAACGAGCAAGAAATTAAGATCGGTTACTTATTTCGACCGTGTAGAATATCAAGATTAATGTTATAATTATATTTTGCCTAGTAGGTGCCAAGTACCAATGTGACATTTTCCGAGTTATATGTACTTTCTAAGATTATTTAGACACCACTGACAAACGGTGAAGTAAAACATCGTGTGAAAACCTGGGCTTATAATTTCTAATTATAAGTTTGAAATCGTCAACCCGCATTGAGCAAGCATGGTGATTAATGCTCAAACCTTCTCCGTGTAAGACGAGGCCTTTGGTCAGCAGTGGGTACTTATAGGCTGTTGATGAGTAAATAGGTATCGATCTATCTCTCGATAAATTATAATAGTACATTGTTAATTAAGATATTGACGTCGGAGCCCTATACGATAGTTGTAATCGGCTGGAGGTCTTTATAGCTCGAGTGGACATATGAGACCTCTTATCGGGGTCAGGTCGCGGGTTCAGTTCCGAGACGTAACTACTGTAAATATTATATTATTGATAGTACCTACATAACTCATTAGTTGACTCTGTGTTTAGAAATAGAGTGGGTACTGCTGTGTGTATGTACGATGTAGATATTTCTTTATGAATATAGGTTGTCTTTCGCATCTTGAAATTCAGTTCTGATCTATTTTTATCACATTAATTTTGTAGAGAAATCTATACAGGACTTGACGGAACGCTCCTGAAAGACGCCGACAGGCGACGGTCAAAAACAATATTTATTTTCATATAAGTAAGGAACTAAATGTTTCTTCCACGAAATAATAGTTGTATTGTAATGAGTATCGCGAAACATAAAACTAATTGTAAAAACAATTTCCCTCTTATCAGCATTTGAGAGCGTTCCGTTGACACCCTGTAAAGGGAAATATTGAACGTTTAGCTTATCTAAAGTTTGTCTTTATTCAAAACAGAAGCAAAGTTTGAACAGGTGTTGAACTGTGTCATACTATATGTTATTTTATATTTACGTTAGTATACCTACTCTTTTTATTTTTTCCATACTAAGTAAGACATTTTTGATATTCCAGAACAAGCAGGCGTACTTCCCAATCTTCGGCGAGCAGCACCCGCGGCCGCCGCGCTCGCGGCCCAAGGACGCGCAGGGCACGGTGCGCGCGTGCGCCGCCTGCCACCACCATCTGCTGCAGCAGTGGAACCATTACCAGGTACGGATCTTAGACAACAGATACACATTTATACGGTTTTATGTTAATGATAAGACAAGAAATATACCAGTGAACGGCTTTTTTTCTGCCAGAAGTTCTAAGGCTGTTTTGTGACAGGAACAGGAAGATGATGCTACGGAGTTTTTAGCTACTCATACTTTAACTTACTCAGTAACATATTTAGTTAAAATAACGCGAAACTGGATTGTCCCTTCAAGTTACTCACGCGCATGTACTGCGTATTACTAAGTTTATAAAAATTAAGATATTAAGGATAAAAAGACGTAATCATTCATGATAAGTGAAGATATACCTGTAAAATAAGATCTGTGAACCCCCGTCATCTTAGATTTATTATAAGATAAACAAAAATATCACTTAGTCACGGTTAGAAAGCATATTCTAGTCAAAAATAGTGGGCACACGCCCCCTCCACATGTACTAAGTACTCCTAATTATTACGTCACCGCTACACATACACAAACAAGTATTCACTGTCCCATTCTAGTTTACGGACAGTCTTCATTAGATATTTATCGACAAGACTCCACTATTAAAATTAGAACTAGTGTATAAGGTTTGTAGCTAAATTCAATTTTATGAGTTCGATCTTTGGCCAGTAACTTTGCCAACGATGGAACACGCCTGCATATACACAATCGAAACAATATCACAATAATCATCAACAGTCGATATGTGGCCACTGCTGAGCAAAGCATCTTCTCACACGGAGAAGGTTTGAGCACTAACCACTATGCTTCATTGAGCAATCATAGTGGTTAGTGCGGTTTGGCAATTTTTAACTTATAATTAGAAATTGTAAGATAAAGACAAAGATAGACATTTGTTTGTGTAAAACGTGGTCCAGGTTTCCTCACGATTTGAACGACTTAATATAGTTTATTAAATTAGAGTACCAAATGCGAGTTTGTTTTACGTTAACACGATTGACAGCTTTATGACGTTCGGCGCTCTGATTGGCTAGCTCCAATTAACCAACAAATCAGAAGGCTTAAGTACGAGTTCGTTTCAGTTTTAAAGTAATCGAAAGGAGACCGCGTTCTGCGCTGTGATTGGTTGGCAAATATCTTCCTTTTAGCCGGCCAATCAGAGCGCCGAACGCGGTCTCTACTACGCTCTCTGAGGGCTAATCGCGGTAACATTTCAATGTGATTAACGTAATAAGAACTCATATTAGGCCTTCTCGTTAGAATATTAGAGTAGGACGGCATGATTTCTAGTATTGCGAGATAATCAGTGTTTAAGTAAACATCGATTGAATGGAGATGTCAATATTAGTGAATTGGTATATGTGTAGGATCAGGGTCCGACATTATTTGAAAATAAAACAAAGGGCTTCACACAATCACTTAGTTTATTTCGATTAAATGAACTTACTTTCACATTAATTTTTAATTATAATAATTGAATAATTCAGCACTGATTATATAAAGGAAACACTCAAATAAAACCAACAATAAAATTACTCAGCGATTGCGTAACGTGTGAACTGGGCAACGATCGACGAACGACTGACTCGAGCTTGCGCTTGCGCTGCTTTATATATCACTCGGTGGTGGGGTTGAAGTGACGTCGGTCAGTTGTTTGTTCACTGCTCGCCCATTACATTCGCAGTTTACAAAATAATGACGGCGGCGCCGACACGGCCATACTGACGTACGCTCGTCCTCGAGCGTTTTCCGAGCATCTGGGAATAAGATAACAACCCGTTCGATCATCCTGGCATTTCTAATCTCTATCTAGTATAACCTTTAACAAAAGCTTTCAATATTGTGCGGGTTCGGTTAACCCTTCAGCTTACCACAACTACTACGTTATCATCACTCATCAGTATTAGAACTGGAGACGATTGTGCTAGGCCGGATAAATATCCCTTTAGCGCATGCTAGACTGGACATCAGTCCCTTTAGCGAATGCTAGACTGGACATCAGTCCCTTTAGCGAATGCTAGACTGGACATCAGTCCCTTTAGCGAATGCTAGACTGGACATCAGTCCCTTTAGCGAATGCTAGACTGGACATCAGTCCCTTTAGCGAATGCTAGACTGGACATCAGTCCCTTTAGCGAATGCTAGACTAGACATCAGTCCCTTTAGCG